ATTGTTTATATTTTGATTAATAAATCAATTCAAGATTTTTGGAAACGTTCAAAAAAATTCTAGTAAATACTTTAATAAATCCAAACAAATTTTGCAAAAATAAAGGTTAAATATTTAATATTTTTCCTAGTTATCAAGAGCGGCGATAGCCTAATGGATAATGCACTTGCATTATTATAGTGTGGGTACTAAGTATGTAAATGAAAACCAATTTGAACTTCCTCTGTACATAATATACAATGTATACATTTTACTTGTTTATTCAATACGGATAAAAAGCCGATTTTTTTTTTAATAATTCATTAAAAAGAGCATCAAGGCTCGTATCAAATAAAATTGTGTTGGTTCCTTTCTGGAACTAATTATGAACTCTCTCCGTGTACATGTATTGATTTGGTGAAAAACCTGAGATGGTGAAACATATTTATTAGAAGGAGAATAATGGCAATGCAAAATATCTTTCTGCATTTCAGAAGGTCTTCAATAATTCTACTCGCTTTAAAAAGACGTAATTTTATTTTTTATTTATTTATTTTTTTTATATTTTGTGATATAATATACGGATGGGGAACAAAACTGTTCCTTCACCATGTGCTCAGCATTTTGAAGTGAAAGTTACTTTGAATGCCACCTTAAAAATCGAGGTTCAGTGTCACGGCAGACATAGGTATGATAAAGATCTCCCATTGTCCAATATCAGTAAATGCTGAGTAATGGTCTAAATTTAAAGCCCTTCATTGATATACTTAGACGTCTTTCACAGAAATATTGCTTGGGCTCTATATGAAGGAAATTTTATTGAAGAGGATAAACAACCAACAATTAGTCAGTCAATCTTTTTTGACAATGTTTTTTTTCTTCAAATTTTAACTTTACATAATGGGTGTTTCAGTCACATATCGGATGGTTTCTTGCTACTTTTTTTCAAAATTTATATGCATAAAAAATTAGCATATATATTGTATACACTTCTATGAACATTTTAACTGAAGGAATAGATACAGGCCTGAGTGTAGATAATTATTGTCAACAAAATTAAACTCAAAATATATAAACAAATTAAGATGTAGCATGTGTTAAACATGATAATTGGCGACTTAAACATAAAAGTTGAAACACTTGACAAGAATTCTCGATTTACTCTTGGAATCACATAATCGAATGTCCATTTTAAGCTGACTTAATAACATCACTGAATTTGATTTGCATTAAGAGTCTAAATAGAAAAAAATAATGCATTTTGAAATTTTCGATATTTAAAGACAGCTGACAAATACACATTTACCATCTAATAGAGATATATAATTTCTTAACATACCGGTGTTATGGGTCAGAATAACCCTAAATGCCAGCAAAGATCAATCACACAGTTTAAACTTAACAATAATTTATTTACAGTAATATACAAATCATTAAGTACAAACTTAGCAAAAATCTAAAAATACATACATCAGAGTGTCCGTTGCTGCACACAATGTCCCAGTGAAAATATATCCCAGTAATACCTCAATGATGCTTGTACGACAATTGTATATCTATGCATCGAATTGTCAGGGTATTTATACAGTATTATAAATCTAGAATATTCTAGAAGTTGTAAGTACATGATATTACTGGAAAGTTCTGGACATACACAAAGTTCAGGAATGTTCTAGAAACAATGACCGAACATGTTGACCACTCTGGAATGTTCAAGAAACTTAATGTTACTAATAATAGACATGATGAAACAATACAAATACAACACACCTCACAACACCTCCCCCCTTAAAAAGTTTGAATGTCAATGAAAAACTTAAATTGTAAAACATATGTACATTAATACAAAACTCTAATTTGTTTATGATACTCTGGACAAGGCATCTGCAATAACATTGTCTTTGCCTTTGATATGCTTAATTGTTATGTTGTATTCTTGTAACAGCAAACTCCATCTAGTCAGTCTTTGATTCTTGTTTGACAATTTATGCAAAAATGTCAGGGGGTTGTGATCCGTATATACAAGAATTGGATGCAAAGTAACATTCAAATAAACATCAAAATGCTGTAAGGCTAACAACAAAGCAAGGCATTCCTTTTCAATGGTGGAATAGTTTTGTTGACATTTTGTAAGTTTCTTTGAAAAATAAGAAACAACTCTATCTACATTATCACTAAGTTCTTGAAACAAAGCTGCCCCGATTCCAACATCACTAGCATCAACGGTAAGCTTAAATTGCTTAGAAAAATCTGGAGTTGACGGAACTGGATTGCTCATAAGGACAGATTTGATTTTATGAAACGATTTTTCACAGTCCTTTGTCCATTCAAAGCTAACCCTCTTTTGTAAAAGATTTGTAAGTGGACTAACTACTGAGGAAAAATTTGGACAAAATTTTCTGTAAAACCCAGCCATGCCCAAAAACCTCATTAATTCTTTCTTGTTTGTAGGAATCGGGAACTTTGCAATAGCTTCCACTTTAGCCATTATGGGTGTAACATAACCTTGACCTACTTTATGACCTAAATACTCTACATAAGCATGACAAAATTCGCTCTTCTCAAGATTCACAGTTAAGTTTGCTTTAGCTAAAATGTCAAATAAAGCACGCATGATTCGAAGATGTTCGTCCCATGTGTCACTGTATATGATGACATCATCAATGTAGGCCTCGCATCCCTCAAGGTCTTGAAGAAGGGAGTGAATCATCCTTTGGAATGTAGCCGGTGCGTTTTTCATGCCAAAAGGCATTACTTTATACTGGTAAAGTCCATCTGGTGTAGCAAAAGCAGATATTTCTTTTGCTCTTTCTGTTAACGGCACTTGCCAGTATCCTTTCAACAGGTCAAATTTACTGACAAATTTCGCGTTTCCAATATTGTCAATACAGTCATCGATTCTAGGTATTGGATATGAATCAGTTTTGGTAACAGAATTCACCTTTCTAAAGTCTGTACATAATCGGTAGGTACCGTCCTGTTTTGGTACAAGAATACATGGTGAGCTCCAATTACTTTTACTAGGTTCAACAATGTCATTGTCCAACATGTACTGCACTTCCCTTCTTAGGTACTGCAATTTTATTGGATTGAGACGGTACGGATGTTGTTTGATAGGCAGAGCGTCGCCAACTATGACATCATGACAAGCTGCATTAGTTTTCTTTGGAACATCCGAAAAGATTTGATGATACTCATTCATCAAGTTTTTAACTTGTTCTTTTTGGTGAATGTTCAAATGTCCAAGTTTGGCATCAAAATCAGCCAAAATTTCTGAGTTTTTCAAACGAACACTCTGATTACAATCTTTCTCATTCATTTCTACACTGGTATCACTTTCAATACAATTTTGAACAGTCTTAGCATTGGCTAAAGTGGAAACTGGTTTTACAGAATTTCGGTCACACCTTTCAAAATAATCTTTTAACATGTTAATGTGACAAACCCGTTTCTCTTTACGTCGACCTGGTGTCTTAACTACATAGTTTACATCACTGATCTTGCTTTCAATTTCATAAGGGCCATAAAATTTGGCCTGTAAAGGATGACCAGGAATAGGTAAAAATACAAGAACCTTATCGCCTGGCTTAAACACCCTATTTCTGGCATCTTTGTCATACCACATTTTCATTTTCATCTGAGAACTCTTCAAATTTTCTTGTGCTAATTTACAAGCATTGTAAAGTTTTTCTTTGAAATCAGACACATAATCTAAAAGATTAAGATCACTAGTCTCAGTCAGCCACTTTTCCTTCAACAATTTCAAAGGACCTCTAACTGTATGACCGAACACCAATTCAAAAGGACTGAACCCAAGAGACTCCTGGACTGCTTCTCGTGCAGCAAATAGCACAAGATGAACCCCTTCATCCCAGTCTTTCTCATACTGGTAACAATAGGTCTTCAGCATTGTTTTAGGGTTTGATGAAAACGTTCTAGCGCTCCCTGGGACTCAGGATGATAAGCAGTTGATCGATACTGCCTAATACCCAACTCATGCATGACTTGCTGGAACAACCCCGACATAAAATTTGAGCCTTGATCCGACTGAATTGCCTTTGGTGCTCCTACAAAACTGAAAAACTTGGTTAGGGCCTTAACTATGCTCTTTGCCTTTATATTCCTAAGAGGTATGGCTTCAGGAAACCGAGTGGATGTACACATAATGATAAGTAAATACTGGTTTCCAGATCTAGTCCTAGGCAAAGGTCCTACACAATCCACCAACACTCGACTAAACGGTTCTTCAAAAGCTGGAATGGGTTGGAGAGGAGCAGATGGTATCTTCTGATTTGGTTTACCTACCATCTGACAGACATGGCATGACTTGCAAAACTTCGAAACATCCTTTCTTAGCTTAGGCCAATAAAAATGACTCAAAATCCTATTATAAGTCTTATTGATACCTAAATGACCAGCCATAGGTGTATCGTGAGCTAAACTCATGACATCTCGACGATAAGCAGCTGGGACCACTATCTGGTGAACAACACGCCACACTTCATCTGGGGAAGCGTTAGTTGGTCGCCATTTTCGCATAAGGATGCCATCTTTCATATAGAAGCATTCTCCAACTTTAGTAGCCTCTTCTGGTGGAAGTGCCCTCTTACTAAGTTGAATGATATCTGGGTCTTTATGTTGTTCAGAGAGTAAACGTTCTCGGCTGAGGATGTCCTTGCCTTGGCTAACTAGTGGATGCAACTCATCATCCTCACCACCAAATTTTGGTAAAAGTTCTTTCTTCTCTTGCTTCTTGATATTGTGTGGTTCCATGCTTGTTTGAGTGCCATCAAGGTCAGATAAGAAAGTGTCATTCAAATCAATATCAACAGAGGAATCTGTCTCGTCAAAGGCTTGATTATGGTCTGCCTCCATCTCTCGTCTTCTGGCCATCGCTCTAGTAACAGCACAGGCTGGATAAATGTCATCATCTTTATCATCGCACAAAACATCTGGAGTGATTTTCTCACAAACTATAGGATCTGGTACAACTTTTCCACCAGCTAAATCGTTGCCTAGCAATAAAGAAATGCCTGGAACGGGAAGAGTAGGTCGAACACCTACGATAACAGGTCCAGTAACTAAATCTGACTTCAAACTAATTCTATGCAGGGGAACATCAATGACGCCTAGCTCCACACCCTGTAATAAAACTGACCCACCAGTAGAAGTCTGCTCAGACAAAGGAAGCACGCCCTCTAACAATAACGTCTGTGCAGCACCAGTATCTCTCAAAATCTGGACAGGTTTTATTTCGCTAGAGTCACCGAGTGAAACAAATCCCTGAGACATAAAGGGCTTATAATCCTCCATAGAATCAATAGAACTGGACTGTGAACCCTGGACATCAGGAGTGTCGGAACAAATCGAAACTAAGGCTTCTCTATCACCTCTAACTGCCGCACAAGCATGTGGTTGAGTTTTATCAAAGTCATTTTTTCTCTTAAGTTTAAAGCATTCACTAATCAGATGACCTTTTTTCTTACAATAACTACAAGTAGGAAGCGACCCTATTCCAGAAGATCCTTCAAAACGTCCTGGACTGGACTTAGAACCACCTTGGGATGGAGACTGGGAACTTGTGAAAGACTGAGACCCTGAACCACTCTTTTTATATGTGTCTGAATTGGTAGAATTACTGCTAGTCTGAGATCTTGATACAAAATTCTTTTTATGAGACAGAGCGTAAGTATCAGATATGACTGCTGCCTCTTCAAGAGTTTTCACATTCTTATCTTCTAAATGTGTTTTCAAATCTTGAGAAACACATTCCTTAAACTCTTCTACCAGGATGACTTGGCGCAAATTATCAAAAGTTTTATCAAGTTTCTTAGATCTAAACCAATGATCGAATAAATCTTCTTTCTCTCGTGAAAATTCAACAAATGTTTGATTATCAAACTTTCTATACTTTCTGAACTTTTGTCTATACGCTTCAGGTACTAATTCATAGGCTTTTAATATTGCTGCTTTGACCTTCTCATAGTCTGAACTCTCAACTACCCCTAGTGCAGAGTATACCTCAGCCGCTTTTCCAACCAGTACACTTTGTAACATCGTTGACCAAACATTTCGTGGCCATTTAAGATTCCCTGCGACTTTTTCGAATTGGGGAAAATATTTGTCTACAGATTTTTCTTGAAATTTTGGAACTAATCTGATATTTTTTGCTGCGTCAAATTCAGTTTTGATAACTGACGGTTCTGGTTGGTTTTGTAATTTTAATTTCTCTAATTCAAAGTTCATTTCACGCTCTCTCTCTCGCTCTTGTCTTTCTCTTTCTCGCTCTTCTCTTTCTCTTTCTAATTTGTCTAATTCAAATTTCCGTTCACGCTCTCGTTCTTCTCTTTCTCTATCTCTTTCTCGCTCTTCTCTTTCAAATTTTTCTCTTTCAAATCGCATTTTCTCTAACTCTAATTGAAACTGATAGTCTGCCATTTTGTAAGAGCCTAACTCTGATTTAACTGTATATTCTGGAAGATCGCGTTTTTCAAAGATGTTTTCTTCTACTAGTTTGTTTGCAACCTTAATTCTAATGTCTTGCTTTCTCTGAGAGGATTTAACATCTAACCCAAAATGCAAACCTAATGCAATCAAGTCATCCTTTTTTAACGTATCAAAAACCTGAACACTTGGTGAACTAAGAAAGTCTGTGACCGAAAACACCATGTTGATTTCTGCTGGCTTATAATCAAATGTAACGGTTCAATTAACAAAATTTTGACAATAAACTGCAAAAGTGCAAGAAATTCTTTATCCCGGACGAGCCCCCAATTCTGTTATGGGTCAGAATAACCCTAAATGCCAGCAAAGATCAATCACACAGTTTAAACTTAACAATAATTTATTTACAGTAATATACAAATCATTAAGTACAAACTTAGCAAAAATCTAAAAATACATACATCAGAGTGTCCGTTGCTGCACACAATGTCCCAGTGAAAATATATCCCAGTAATACCTCAATGATGCTTGTACGACAATTGTATATCTATGCATCGAATTGTCAGGGTATTTATACAGTATTATAAATCTAGAATATTCTAGAAGTTGTAAGTACATGATATTACTGGAAAGTTCTGGACATACACAAAGTTCAGGAATGTTCTAGAAACAATGACCGAACATGTTGACCACTCTGGAATGTTCAAGAAACTTAATGTTACTAATAATAGACATGATGAAACAATACAAATACAACACACCTCACAACACCGGCTTAATTTACTTTCTTATATATGGAATTTCTTAAACAAAAGAAACATTTATAACAGTTCATATCATATTAAACAATATCGACACTTAAACAAGTGTAACATACGGGGTATGTAAGCGTCAATCTACCAATACTTCTCGGAAGTACATCCAAAACTTTGTTTTGACAAATAATTACATACCGATCTCTTAAAAGAAAACAATGTTACATTGTTGATTGGGTGTGCAGCTCTCTGTCAAAGAGATTGTAGTTTCTATGGATTTAATCCCAAGAGGAAGAAATGTCGTACACATAAGAAGACCTTTACCTCTGAGATGTCTGTTGAGGCTGGTTGGCGATACTACTGCGAGGAATGTATGTATTTTTCCCCATTTTACATGGAATCTGCTTATGAAGCAGGTCTTACCTTGCTAACTACATATGTTTTCAAACTCAAAATAACTAGTTTTAAACACCACTCAAACACTACAACAATAAATTAGTCAAGGTATATGTTAATAGAGGATATTCATTGTATTGTAGTTGAATATGAAACTTATTTCACGAGTGGGACAGGTTTTGTTTTATATCTTAGCACTCGTGAAAATACCAAAAAGAATCCTGTCTCACGAGTTTTCAGTCGGCATAACTTGATCTGGTTGTTCGCGTTAGGAAAAACAGAGGTATTTTTCATTTTGGCCTGAGACACATTTTCTTTATGCAAAAGAGCCTCCGGCTCGTGCACCATATGTCAATTCTTGACTATTGTTATATAATAGTGTTGTACTTTGCATGCACTATGCCTAAATAGTAGTCAGTGTTTGACACATGGTGCACAAGCCGGAGGCGAGTGCACTATGAGTCAAACCCTGACTACTATTTAGGCACAGTGCATGCAAAGTACAACACTATTGTTATTCTTATGCTGACAGCTGTAATGGTATAAAAACGGCAATATTTTCCCAATTCCCAATGTTTCATTACCTCTTACATTCGTCTACCGTATAATGACCTCACATTGTGCCACATGTCCGTCATAATCTTTTTTCTTTAAATTTGAACGGTCCATGCTGTATGTATAATATACTGTCAGTTTCAGAGAATATTAGTAGAGTGAAGGGGGATTGCAAGAAACAATTCTAGAAGAAAGATACCTTGTAAACCGAGATCTCGTGTCGCAGTAGGTGCTGGCACGAAAAAGAACCCTCCCTGACCAATGGCTCGTCCATCTAAGGGCAAAATTTGCTGCTCTCCACAGGCCAGTGGTGGCTTTTCCATTTGTGTGAAAATTCTCGACCGAGAACAATATACAATCAATCAATCAATGAACAAAGAGGGATAGGTGGTTTACATATTTTCATAATAAATACATACCATTTAAGCAGAATTTTTAGCGCTGATTTAATTTTGGCATTATTAGCGATGATGTCGAGATCGCAAAAATTGAATATCGCTTAAAATCAATTCTGTTTTTGTTGTAATAGTTTCGTTAGTGAGCATTTCAAAATCGCTAATTTGATGACTCTCCACAATGAAAAAAGAACAATTTTTACCTAGCCCTTTGCACATGATTAATCTTTTACTCCTATAGAGTCTGACTCATCGCATTGACCTTAAAGAAGCAATAATTGTCTAATTTAATGAGATCAAAATTACAAATTTATTCCCTATTTAGCCCAGTAAGTATTTTAGCAATAAGCTCCCTTTATTTATTTATTTATTTTTATCCCGGAATATTTAAACTTAAATCCACAAGAGAATCATTAGTCTAAGAGGGTCTTTTTTGTCACTTAGGTTATGCAAATTTTTAGGTTGATTACACTTATTTCTACTTGCAAAAGGGTCACGTTTTCGACGTCGAATAATGACCAGGGACATTTTCGCCGCAGAATAATGACCGGGAATCATTTTTCGACGTAGAAAAATTACACATCGGCAATATATTACACCTGGTCAATATATTCTATGGGGGTCATTATTCTTCTTCACAAGGACACCAAAAGGCACTTTAGGGCATTTGTGGAACATCTGCAACTGTTACCGTTACAATAAGACTGGTTTATTTCAGATTTAACAAATCAATATTTAATTGAATGATACATACAGAGCTGGTAACCGTTAGCCAATCAGCTTCAGTAACTGATGTATATTTTGTATATATTTATATTTGGTGTTTGGTTTACTACATTGAATTTTTTTTAAAAGTACCCCACAGCGCAGATAGTTGCTTTAAGTACAAATTACGATATGGGCTCTCTTTGTGTTATTATTTTAGTTTTTGTCCTTTTTTTGGTGTGCCACTCTACCATTATTTCGAGAAAATACACCGCAAAACTGGAACCGAATGATAAGAAGTCAAACGAAGAACTTTTAGGAAAATATAATTCTACATCAGTGATAAGGTGTGCAGCGCGGTGTCAAAGGGAGTGTAGTATCTTAGGCTTCCACTCACAAATCAAGAAATGCCGTACCTACAAGAAAATCTTCTTGTCAGAAGTATCAAATGAGGAAGGCTGGATATACTACTCACATGACTGTTTGCATATCTGTGTATTTTTCTTTGTTTCATTTGCCTCAAATTAGATTGATTGATTGTATATTGTTTAACGTCCCTCTCGAGAATTTTTCACTTATATGGAGACGTCACCGTATGCCGGTGAAGGGCTTCAAATTTTGACCTTTACTCGGTACACAGGGCCATTGAGCAGTGAGGGATCTTTGTCGTGCCAACGCCTGCAGCTTACACGGGGCTCGGTTTTTTAAGGTCTCATCCGAAGGACCCGCAACTTTCACTTCAAAGTGCCGAGCGCATGGCGAAGGAACAGTTGCCATCCATTTTATCGACTAGGTCAGTCGCGGTCGAGATATGAACTCACGACCTCCCGATCACGGAGCGAGCCCTCTACCGACTGAGCTACCGTGAACGTTTCAAAAATTAGATAAATATCATGAATCTTTATTGCTCAACATAATTAATTAGTTGTAAATAATAGTCATGTCTTATTATTTTTAATCATTTCAATTTCTGTAATAAGAAAATGCTTCACAAAATCTACAGTGTAGGTAACTACTCCGTTGTTCAGGTACTATCTATGCTCTCACTTCTTGTATATACATAGTATGATTCCAGTATTATTTTTATGAGTTATTTCTGTACATTGTATATACATAGTATCATTCCAGTATTATTTTTATGTGTTATTTCTGTACATTTTATATACATAGTATGATTCCAGTATTGTTTTTATCAATTTTTTCTGTACATTGTATATACATAGTAAACTTCTAGCATTATTTTCTATTTGTTATTTCTATGGATGTTATATACATTGTATGATTCCAGTATTATTCTTATGAGTTATTTCTGTGGGTCGTATTTACCTAGCATGATTCCTATTTTATTTTTCAGTAATCTTTTTTGGATTGGTTGGATTTTTTTCTGTTTTAGTCATTCCAATAGACTGTAAGGACCTTCAATCAGTTGGATACATTAATTCAGGGGTGTATGACATCTACCCCTATGGAACCATTACCAGTCCTGTCCAGGTGTTCTGCGATATGACCACAATGGGCGGGGGATGGACGGTTTGTTGTTTATTCTAACATTAGGCCACATTATACAATCTATTTCACACCCAATGTTTTTGTTGTTTAACAGAACAAAAAGTGAAGAAATATGAATATTTTAGTTTATATCATAACATATTGATCACTTCAATGTTGAAAACAATGACTTGCTACACGAGTTATCTTTAAAGGCAATCCAAAAGAGAATTACTGGATCCCTGGACTATGACAGGACCTGGACGGAATATAAAAACGGATTTGGTTCTCCGGAACAGGATGTCTGGATTGGTAAGTGTAAATTGATTTCAGATTGGAACTTTTTATCCCTACAGAGTTTGAAAAAAATCTGACAGGTAATAAAAAATAAGGAGTAATAAAGATCTTAAAGTAAAACTAGGTAATATATGTTCTACGATATTTACATATCGTGTTAGATTGATATATCAAATAATTAGAAAAAAAGGTGAGAAGAAAATCATTTAGCGGCATATTTATATGAATCCAAATTTAGCATTAATGTCTACAGTCAAGGAAAATCATTTGATTGTTCATTACGGTAGATTCATATTTTTAATAGAATTAATTGTTATGGATTTTTCAACTAATTCAACATATATATTAATACAGGAAATGACTTAATCTATCAATTAACAAAAGAAAACACCCAGTTTCTTTATGTGTCAATCACTCTCCAAAATGGTACAACGCTGTATGAAATGTACGACACATTCTCTGTCTCCGACGAAGCTGGGAAATATCAACTCTTTCTTACAGGACCTGCCACGGGGACCTTAGGTAAGTGTATTCATGTCAATTTCATAAAAATTGTTTCAAATTACGTATTTCATCATTACATTATTTTGTACTGAAAGATTTTCAAGTTGTAGAAAAAAGAGAAAGATACGGTTTTTTTTTATAATATTATGTATACATTTTTGAATCCGCGCTTATTATACATGTTTATTATTTCAGAATATCATTTGCAGGTGTAATTCCACAGACATTGAAGTCTTTATTGTCAAGTAGCTAAAAGTTAAAATTATGATTTAAAATGCCAAGAAATTTATGTTATTTTATTTTTTAATTAATAAATCCAGTATTTTCATTTGCTCAACCATTTTTATTCAGCTTGAGTTTCCTGATAATTTTTGATAATTCACACTTAACTGATACGGTAAAAAGTTTATAGAGCGTAATTAATCTATGATATTATATAACTTTGTGAAATCCGATAATCTGATTGGTCAATACGAAGTACTTATTTTTTAATAACGACCGCTGAAAGCGAATAATGACTCGCACGAGCTGCCTCGTTTTCACTTTCGCTTTAGACAAACATGGAAGTTCGCAAGTTGTAGGTAAGAAAAATTTAAAAGTCATAGCGAAGAACTCTGAGGCTGATAATACAAAACAATTACAAGGACATCTGTCAACATTTTTCGGGAATGCTTAGCACATACCATTTCATGGTTAAGTTCGACTTTTCCAGTCGGCGAGCAGAGTTTTAACACTGTTTACGCGATTACGGAGACTAAAGAAAATAAAGACAAGCATGCCATGTACGATTGTATCTTATCTTAGAAGACATAGGTATTTATATTTTGTGAGTGCATGTCCTCTGCAAGTGCAAACGAGTGCGATTCTCAATCTGGGGGAGGGGGTATTCTGTGTTATTCGGAGATAGATATATTGCGTTATTATTATGGTATGGGTTTAAAAAAATCTATTACCGAAACAATTTCCTCTGAGTGATATTCAATGAATTCTGAAACATTTACATTCAACTTATTTATGGTTAATACTATCTCTGTAAACATAAGGAAGATATACATTGTACCAAAACATTTTTGAAATTATTATTTATATAATATAATAAATATGGACTCAATGCACGGTCAATATGCATTTATAATGACCCAGGAAGACAGATATTGACCTCAGATACATGAAGTATATCGACCTCGGGCTAGCGCCCTCGGTCGATATAATACATGTATCTTCGGTCAATATCTGTCATCCTGGGTCTTTATAAATGCATATTGACCTACATTGAGTCCATATTTGTATAATATCGAAATCTTAACAAAAAAATGATGTTCTCAAAAATGTATTTGATCAAAAACACATTCAAATTAAAAAAAAGTCAAATGCAAAACACTTCATCGTGTTTCACATTTACTTTACCTCTATTCCTTTTCTCTATGAAATGAAAATTTTGTCTGATTTTCATTTATTCACATTTTAACCACTATGAAATTAGATGTTTACAGAACGTCATTATCTAAATGTCGAAAAAAAATTCCGAAAATTTAATGATGAAAACATTGATCGGATATTTATTCTAATAAAAAATATAACAAATCCATATTCAAAACACATCAGTGAGTTTCACATTTACAATACCTATGCCTTATGTATCTTAAAACATTTACAGATACACCATATTTTCATATTGTTATAATTATGAATAAGTTACTGGGTACTGCATTTCATACATTTTTAAACGCACTGTCTCTGACATATATAAATATTTCATTTATTCATGTTTTCTGATATTTCCGCTGACCTCCCAACCCCCAACCCCCAACCCTCAACCCCCCAAAAAATACCATGCTTTAAAGAAGTAACACGCCTTTGGTTAATTGTTACACTAGAAAGGATGCTATGTGAATTGTCCGTGTTTTGTTGGCTTGTAATTTTAGCTCACCTGAGCCGAAGGCTCAAGTGAGCTTTTCTGATCAAATTTTGTCCGTCGTCCGTCCGTCTGTCTGTCTAGCTGTCCGTCCGTCTGTAAACTTTTCACATTTTCGACTTCTTCTCAAGAACCACTGGGCCAATTTTGACCAAACTTGGTACAAAGCATTCTTGGGTAAAGGGGATTTTAAATTGTAAAAATTAAGGGACATATCCCCTCACAAGAGGAGATAATCAAGAAAAGACAAAAATAGGGTGGGGTCATTAAAAAATCTTCTTCTCAAGAACCACTTACTTGGTCAGTAAAGCTGAAACTCATGTGGAAGCATCCTGGGGTAGTGTAGATTCTAAATTGTTCAAATCATGACCCCCAGGGGTAGGGCGGGGCCACAATGGGGAATCAAAGTTTTACATAGAAATATATAGGAAAAATCTTTTAAAATCTTCTTCTCAAGAACCACTGGGCCAGAAAAGCTGAAACTTATGTGGACGCATGCTGGGGTAGTGTAGATTCTAAATTGTTCAAATCATGACCCCCGGGGGTAGGGCGGGGCCACAATGGGGAATCAAAGTTTTACATAGAAATATAAAGGAAAAATCTTCTCAAGAACCACTGGGCCAGAAAAGCTGAAACTTATTTTGAAGCATCCTGGGATAGTGTAGATTCTAAATTGTTCAAATCATGACCCCCAGGGGTTGGGCGGGGCCACAATTGGGAATCAAAGTTTTACAAAGAAAAATAAAGGAAAAATCTTCTTCTCAAGAACCACTGGGCCAGAAAAGCTGAAACTTATTTTGAAGCATCCTGGGGTAGTGTAGATTCTAAATTGTTCATATCATGACCCCCGGGGGTAGGGTGGGGCCACAATGGGGAATCAAAGTTTTACATAGAAATATAAAGGAAAAATCTTTGAAAATCTTCCTTTCAAGAACCACGGGGCCAGAAAAGCTGAAACGTATGTGGTAGCATCCTAGGATAGTGTAGATTCTAAATTGTGCAAATCATGACCCCGGGGGTTGGGCGGGGCCACATTCGGGAATCAAAGTTTTACATAGAAATAAATAGGAAAAATCTTTTAAAATCTTCTTCTCAAGAACCACTGGGCCAGTAAAGCTGAAACTAATGTGAAAGCATCCTGGGGTAATGTAGATTCTAAATTGTTCAAATCATGACCCCAAAGGGGTAGGGCGGGGCCACAATAGGGAGTCCAAGTTTCACATTGAAATATATAGTAAAAAACTAAAAAAAAATTTTCTTTTCAAGAACCACTGGGCTGGAAATGCTGAAACTTATATAAATGGATGATCCTGGAACAATGTAGATTCTTAGTTGTCCATTTCATGACCCATGGGTGTAGGGAAGGCCATAATGGAGAATCCAAGTTTTACATTGAAATATGTATGAAAAAGTTTTTTAAAGTCTTTTCAAGAGCCAATGGGCCAGAAAAGCTGAAACTTATGTGAAATCATCTTGGTGTAGTGTAGATTCTAAATTGTCCTCATCATGACCCCTGGCATAGGGCATGGTCACAATTGGTATTACAAAGGGGGGAAATATGTTGAAATATAAGCATGGCCAAAGTTATTCAGGAGAGTGATGTAGCCCATGGGCCTCTTGTTTTAATTTTGCAGGCATTTGTTTTCAAATTGATTTGAAAATTTGAAATTTTACAGCTTACCTTTTCTCATACATTTAATGCCATTATTTCAGACACTGAGAGGTTTAGAATCATTGAATCTTGTAGGTTGATGCAACTTGGGGCCTTAAAACATATTTATGAAAAAGTACGTCACTGTGACCTACTTTTTGAATTTTGCAGGCATTTGTTTTCAAATTGTTAAAGGTGAAATATCTCTCTGCTCCAAATTTCACCAATTTTTTAGCTCACCTTAGCAAAAGGTTCAAGTGAGCTTTTCTGATCACATTTTGTCCGTTGTCCGTCTGTCCGTCTAGCTGTCTGTCTGTAAACTTTTCACATTTTCGACTTCTTCTCAAGAACCACTCAGCCAATTTTGATCAAGCTTGGTACAAAGCATCCTTGCGTGAATAGAAATTTAAATTGTTAAAATGAAGGGCCAAGTCCTCTCCCAAGGGGAGATAATCAAGAAAAGACAAAAATAGGGTGGGGTCATTAGAAAATCTTCTTCTCAAGAACCACTGGGCCAGAAAAGCTGAAACTCATGTGGAAGCATCCTGGGGTAGTGTAGATTTCAAATTGTTCAAATCATGACCCCTTGGGGTAGGGCGGGGCAACAATAGGGTATCCAAGTTTAACATAGAAATAAATAAGAAAAATCTTTAAAAATCTTTTTCTCAAGAACCACTGGGCCAGAAAAGCTGAATCTTATGTGGAAGCATGATTGGGTAGTGTAGATTCTAAATTTTTCAAATCATGACCCCTGGGTGTTGGGCGGGGCCACAATAGGGAATCCATGTTTTACATAGAAATATATAGGAAAAATCTTTGAAAATCTTCTTCTCAAGAACCACTGGGCCAGAAAAGCTGAAACTTATGTGCACATGGAAGGATCATGGGGTAGTGTAGATTTCAAAATGTCTAAATTATGATCAGTGGGGTAGGGTGTGGATGCATTATGTATTACAAGGGGGAAATCTGGTAAAGAACAGAATGTTCAAAGCTTCTCAGGTGAGCGATGTGGCCCATGGGCCTCTTGTTTCTCTCCCTTGACAAGAAACAACACCTTAAACTATGAAAATCAGATGTACTTCAGTATTAAGAATAATGTGATGTAAATTAATAATTATTATCTATGTGTTATATTTTCTCTCATTCTGCAGGTGCTAGTATGATGGACAGCGGGGATTCTAGGAGTTAACTATATAAATATTATCGCTTTTTCCAGCACCTAAAGCAGTCTATATTAGAAATACCTCAGTATTAAGTTTGACAATTAGATTAAAGATATATAAATCAATAATTTCCTTGATTCATTTTGTTTAATTTTACAGTAGACGGTATGTTAGACACAGGTTATTCGTACAGAGATCTGTCTGAGTTGTCCTTCTCCATCCCAGACAGGGATAAAGACAAATGGTTGGAGACGACTGTTTTGTCTATTTATATTGTTATAATATTGTGTTTCAGGAGACAGCATGAGAGGATAATGAGAGATTGACTGGAGATGAATGTTGTGTCTATCTATATTGTTATAGTATTGTGCTTCAGGAGACAGCATGAGAAGATAACGACAGATTGACTGGAGATGACTGTTGTGTCTATTTATATTGAAATAATATTGTGTTTCAGGGGACAGCATGAGAAGATAATGACAGATTGACTGGAGATGAATGTTGTGTCTATTTATATTGTTATAATATTGTGTTACAGGAGACAGCATTAGAAGATAATGACAGGTTGACTGGAGATGAATGTTGTGTCTATTTATATTGTTATAATATTGTGTTACAGGAGACAGCATGAGAAGATACTGGCAGATTGACTGTAGATGAATGTTATGTCTACTTATATTGTTATAATATTGTGTTACAGGAGACAGCATGAGAAGATAATGACAGATTGACTGGAGATGACTGTTGTGTCTATTTTTATTGTTTTAATGTTGTGTTTCAGGGGACAGCATGAGAAGATAATGACAGATTGACTGGAGATGACTGTTGTGTCTATTTATATTGTTTTAATGTTGTGTTTCAGGGGACAGCATGAGAAAATAATGACAGATTGACTGGAGATGACTGTTGTGTCTATTTATATTGTTTTAATGTTGTGTTTCAGGGGACAGCATGAGAAAATAATGACAGATTGACTGGAGATGACTGTTGTGTCTATTTATATTGATATAATATTGTGTTTCAGGAGACAGCATGAGAAGATAATGACAGATTGACTGGAGATGACTGTTGTGTCTATTTATATTGTTTTAATGTTGTGTTTCAGGGGACAGCATGAGAAGATAATGACAGATTGACTGGAGATGACTGTTGTGTCTATTTATATTGTTTTAATGTTGTGTTTCAGGGGACAGCATTAGAAGATAATGACAGATTGACTGGAGATGACTGTTGTATCTTTTTATAATATTGTATTTCAGGAGACAGCATGAGAAGCTACAATCTGTCTGGGATGTCCTTCAGCACACCGGACAGAGATAACGACAGGTGGAGTCGTGGTAACTGTGCTGCTGTCAGTACCTATAGAGGAGGCTGGTGGTTTAAAACCTGTGGATTAGTCTTCCTAAACGGTCCCTGGTCCTCGTTTTACTGGTCCAGTCCATGGCATCCCACAGTAAGGAAAGGGAAATATATCAGGAGGACCACCATGATGATCAGGCGCCGCTAGGTCAACAGCATTAAATCTTAATAACAAGTTTTTTTTCCTTTTCTATGTCCGCGAAAATTTCAAATAGTTATTGAAAGTTATTTTTTTTTAAATATGCTCTTCTTTCTGTCAAACATTAATTCAATTTTCTTTTACAGACAAAAGATCATCCACCAAAAGATTTTGAATTGTTCTTTATCGCTGTGTTCTTCTGTTAAATTATGTTTCACACCAAGTGAGTTGAACAATTCTTTAAAGCAATAAATTAATGCATTTTTTTTCAACTGCATGTGTTTAGCAAAAGATGTAATTTACATGTGTTGTAATAAATTTGAACTTAGAAATAATACATCATTTACAAACACTGATAAGTGAAGCTGTCTGGACGGAGAATTAGGATGATGATTGATTTGTTAATAAACCTGGAACCTCTTTAATCCGACACATGGACAATACGCTTTAATGTGATTTCTGTCAATTCCATATCTCATTTCTGAAGATTTTAAGATATTTATAAAAAATCAATGTTAGGTATATTTGATGATCATGTTTTTCAGTAGTGTACGTCTAAGATTATGCTTCCCTAAAAACATACCTCTATATTTTTCCATCCATGCGGTATTTTGAATAAATGAGTATTTATTATTCATTAATCTACTATACAAAAACCGTTTAAATGAATGTTAAGGCTCTTTTATATCATGGATAAATAATTGACGTAAGACGTACTGAATATTTCTTTCTACAAGTCTAATTATTTAATATATATATATATATATTTCTATAGCTTGAATTTTAATGTGGCAAGAAAGCCAATGATACTAGATTTGCATTGATACAAAAGTGATGGCTTGAATTAAAAAAATCACCTTTTCTGAAGATCAATATCTTTTATTGCTGCAGATAATCATTTGAAAAAGAAAAAAAATTGCCTTTTATTCTGACGTCACAAACGTATAGAGATAATCCAAGTATTCTAAATAATAAAACAAATTTAAAAAAAAACAAGACAAGCAGTTAGAAAAATTAAATTATAAGCACTGATTCATTATTTTTTTTAAAATATAGGTCTCGAATATCTGCAACGATTTGTGCAAACAAACTGTCATAATGCGCACTGGCACATAACTTAATATGTTTGCAAATACCGTATAACGGGTATTTTCTGCGGTTTTCCAATTTTTGCGGAATTTTGCGGATTGGACAAATCCGCAGAAATTACAATCGCAAAATATTTAAAATATACCTTCAGGTATTTTATACATGCAAATATGAAAAGTGGTTTGTCTGGAGACCTGTCTTCGCTAGCGAGAACATTCGGGTCATATCGAAACTCCGATAGCTGCAAACAAAATATCACAGTTTTTCTTTCTTTCTTATTTTCCACTTTTTAATTTCGTGTTTTGTCTTTAGACCGTGATTAATACTACTTCTTGTGTATACAACATAGTTTGATTGTCTCCTGAATTTCATTCAAATCAGACGACTGGCAGTATTAGTAACACCTCAATGCGCGTGACAGTCGTGCGATTTTTGGGTTGGTTGATTACGCAACTGTTTGTTTTAGCTTAAAATGAAAATCATGAATTAATTTTGATGGTAATTTATTTCAAGTCTATTTTAGATAATGGCTTGGAGGTATTAATTATCATTATCTCTATACTTACTAAAATTATTTTGATAGATCATATTAATGAACGTCTGCAGTGTTAAAATAAATAATTTAATTATTGTTTAAGTTGACAAGTTGTGTTACTACAATAATTAATTTCGGGACCAGGCATAATTTTACAAAGAGTTACTAAAAGTTAGTACTTTAATAGCGCAATACCTAGCGCAATACCTGTTCTCATGCTCGTTTCATTCATGTGTCTGATTGAATTTACAAAACGTAATAACGGCATTGTTCTAATTAATCTGAGTTTGATGATCCTATACTGTACCCAGTAAACATTTTTTTGCGGAAAAGTGCAACCGCAGGAATTGAAAACGCAGAAATTAATTTGCTACCTTTCAGCGGTTAAATCGCAAAAATTTCCAACCGCAGAAAATACCCGTTATACGGTACATTTGCAAATATGGACTACATCTTTCAAAAAATGACTCAATGCCTAAATAATGACACAAACTTCATTATGTGTGTTAAGTAAAGTCATATGTATTTTTCAATGTGTAGAATAGGGTACATATATGAAAAAATATTATCGACTACAACTTGGAAATTATATTTAAATAAATAGGAAAAGTTTTTTTGTGAGCTAATTATAAAAATTCAAGATGTGTTTTTGAAACGACGAGAAATAAACCGGTAAAGTTGTACCGTTTATACTCGCCTATAATTCGGGTTTTTGGGAGTTTAATTTTTGTCCAAAAGCCTATGTCCGACTTATAGGCGAGTCATAAAAGACTGGTATTTTTCTAGCCGATGAAACGTAAAATTCTATAATTTCTATTAATTTCAATCGTTATCGGTGAACATAGTGTGGATTTATCATATCATGTTTATATTCTAAGATTAAACATTAATAACATGTATTTATATACATGTAGTACATGAACTAAATGATTTTATTTTTTTTTTTAATCTTGAGAGGGTATTATCTATTTTGATCAGTAATTTAAAGGTAAAAAAGTGATCCACATTTCAAAAAAATTAATTGTAATCAGGTTAAAATATCATCATTTATTTGAAATTGTCATATGGTTCTAACAAAAGGTTGTACCGACTTATAAGCGGGTCATTGGCAAATACCTTAAACACCCTTTAAAAATATAACCGAGTTATAAGCGGACCGACTTATAGGCGTGTATATACGGTAATCCCCTAGCACTAACCATTCGTGAGCTACGGCCAAGGTTAAAGTTATTGATAAGTTGGTTGAAATCCAAGTTCAAGGTCATTACACATTGATCTGGTACACAAAAGAAGGTCTTGTGAAATAAATGCGTGTGAGTAATATGATATCTTTCGATTTAGCCATTCATTAGTTATGGTTAAGATTAAATTTTTGAAAATTTCTTCAAAAGTGAATCAAACTTAAAGATCAACGTCAAAATATCAAAAATACTTCCAAACGAAACGTTTTTACACATGGAATACTCCAGTGAAATATGTTAGCCATAGCTCATATGACAAAGATTCATATTAAGGAAAATTTTCCAAAAGTGGCAAATTCCAAAATGAAGGTCAAAATTTCAAATAAAATATTTTAACCCAAGAAAAGATCATTTCATATTTTTTTTTCACCTGTGAAATATGAAATCCATAGTTCAAACCAATCAAAGGTTAAAGTCAGGGTTAATTTATTTATTCACTCACTGATAAATCAGAAAAAAATCACAAACAGACAGACAGACCGACCGGCAGAACAAGATATATCTAACCCTGATTCTTGGATTTTAAGTGCATAGAAATTATTAAAAAGCACTTTGTCAGTTTTTTGCTAAAAAAAATATACGTATAGTGAGAAGAGATTTGAGTTGTAAGTTTCCTTGCAAAGATAACGAGACATCATATTATAACGCACATTCTGTCTCCATGAACATGCAATTCATAGCTTACTTCAACTAATGAGTATTTATCTAGATCGCTTCCAAAGAGAAGAATATACTACATGGACTTCAGAAGACTCCTTTTAATTATCTAGAACATTTTACACCATGTTAAATGATATTATGAAAAAAAAATAATGGTTGCAAAAGTTTATTTTAATTTAAAGAAAATGAAACATTATGTAACAGAACACTCTTCAGGATCCAAATAAAATGGAGAATCCTCACAAATAAAGGGAAGATTTAGTCCGTCTTCTCCTGTATAGTACGTGTAGTTTCTCTCAGTCACCCAGCGCCACCTACCGTCGTTATGATAAGTCAAAAGGAGGCCAATGATTGGGTCAACTGCTGTCTCGCCCTCGTCGTTAGGATTCCAGTTCTGATACGTCACAGGTATCCAATTATCAAAATTGTGTCTTTCATTGTCGTCAAATGTCAAAACATTGGCACGAAATTCAAATGAACCGTTGAGATCAACTTCTGCAGAAAAGGACAAGAAAGTTTTTTTTTAATCATTTTCACGTTTGAAACACCACCGATACAATATGATTTGTTACTTTAGATCCAGTACGCTCTAAAAATTATAAAATTTTATCTGCTGTATCCAAGTTCAATAGACCTTCAAAGGGAAAATATCCTTTATTGCGTCGTGGTATATGTAACAATAGAATATTTGCTAACGGTCATAAGCAAACCTAGGCCAAACTGTATTTCAATTGGAGAGCAAAGGAAAATAAGATGGTGTTCGATTCCAAAATAATGTTTTGTTTTTTTTTTTGGATGAAGAAGGATATGGAGAAAACTAACAGTATTCAATCTCAAAGTCAAGAAACTATACAAAACAAGAGCAGAGCAAACACGGACCTCCGAAACATCAGACGTGGGATCAGGTACCACGGGGGAGTGAGCATCCCCAGCTGACCAGTCACACCCGCCGTGTGCTCATTGTCATGATTGTGAAATAACGGAAGAATCCGTCATCAATTAAGTGTAAATATATATGGACTAATAATTGGTATGAAATAAGAAATTAACAATTTTGATACACTGCAAAAAAAAAACATTTTCCAGATTTAATATGAAGTTCTTTATCTTAAAGTTTAAAATCAGATTTGTAGAACGCAAAAAAAACTATCTCACTTTTTATCAAAGGTGTCTGAATATAATCCACATAACATTATGAAAGAGTACTTTTTTTAATCAAATGTATATTCGAGAAATTTGACAATTTTTTTTGTTATTGTATGTATGTGATAAGAATGAGAAGATGATATGAATAAATTGCTTAATTATATACCAAGATGTATTGGGTTTACGCCTGAAAACCTCCCAAGAAACAACAGCATGCAATTAAAATGTTTTAATGACAATATTTTATCTAGTCAAGTTATTTGATAAGTATATTCTTTAAATAC